ATTGATACCGACGGATGCACTGCGTTGCCTCTTGTGAACTGTATTGCTAACATAATCAGCTGTGCTTATATGTGTGAAGGATTTTTGTTAAAATTGGTGAAATTTATTGCAAATATTAAATGGATTCTGTGGCTTTTTTTATTGATTTCGATGAAAACACCAGGAGTGATATGCGACGGACTAGAAGGAAAGTCAGGGATAATGTTGTGAATGTATTGGAGTTGCCGGATGAGGTGTGAGTAAATTTTTTGAAGTCTTTATTTCATTCTAACATGTGAGTTCCTTATTCAGATTTGTAAAACAGTTCCGGCTTAACAAGTTAGCATTCAAGTACGTTTTAGAAATATTAATGCAGAAATTGCCTCCAGTTCGAAGATCATGTTCCATAACACCAGAGCTTAAATTAGCTTGTTTAAGGTTTTTAGCTGAAGAGGGCTATCAGAATGGTACTGGCCAAGATTTTAATATTGTCTTGGCACAATCCACATACTCTGTAGTACGCTCTGATGTACAAAACATCTCAGAAGCCACTTTATGTCCCAGATGGATTACTTTAGCAATGACAGACAATGAAAAACTTGAAGCGAAAAGATATTTTTTCGAAAAAACTAGAATTCCTGGAATTGTCATGTGTGTTGACGGTACTCACATTAAAATTCTTAAACCAGCTGCAGGCAATGCACACCTTTATTATAATCGGAAAGGATATTACAGTGTTAATGCAATGATAGTAAGAACTAAATGAGTCTGAACTTCTTCAATTTATTATTTATTGATATTCTTTTATTTTGCATTTTCAGATATGTGACCATAAGCAAAGAATAAGGTATGCGAACAGTAGGTATGCAGGTGCAAGTCACGATTCCTTTATTTGGGAAAATAGTGATGCTTCCACCTACTTCCACGCGCAGTATGAAAATGGAGACAGAAGCACAAGACTGCTAGGTACAAAAAAAAACGAATAATCAAGGTGCGTATTTTAACTGTAATGATCTTCCATAGGTGACTCTGGATATCCACTGTTACCCTGGCTTATAACACCCTTTCGAACTGCAGGCGTTGATATTCCAGAAAGCAGATTTAATAAAAGCCATAGTAAAGGCCGTAATATTGTAAGAACTGGTGCCGATGTCTCCTTTCTGCTCGCCAACTACATTATGCTCCTGAGAAAGTGGTTCAAATTGTAAACGATGTGGCAGCACTTCACAACATTCGAATACATTATAATATTTCCGACGAATACCAGGAGGAAGTCTACGAACCCGATGAATATGTAGGCGAACCTGTACAACCTCAACGATATACAAATGAAGCAACTCAAATTCGCAATGAGATGTTACGTAGCGTTTTGTAAAATAAAACTATTTAGTATCACAAAATCCATTTTCATACATATTTCTTAATATTTAAGTAAAAAGCCTTCCTGGCAAAGTGTTGCACAACGTTGTCTACACACTAAGGATGTAGATAAAAGTAAAATCATATCACTTCATTGGTTAACATACACAGTATTTTCAAAAAACAAAAAAAACTTAAATAATAAAGCCCTCCTGTTCAGAAAGTATTCAGGCACTACAGTCATAAAAAAAAATCCAATATAAAATAAAAACAAATCTCATAAAAAAATTGTCAGGTCCCACTTATTTTAAGAATTAAGGTGTCTGTTGACGTTATTTAACTCAATATTTAAAAGTTCCCTTTTTAATCTTAATTTTTCTATAGCAGCCTTTTCCATCACAGCGTTATGTCTTTTAATCTCTTCAAGAGTATTCTGAAGAATTTCATTATTTTTCTTTTTTTGGTCGCCTAGCCTCTCTACTGATCTATTCAGTCTTTTTAAATGGTCCCTCATGTGTTGAAAATATTCCTGTTGGTTCTCAACAGCCTCAGACACTTTTTCGTACAGTCTTTCTTGAACCCCTATTTGCTTCTCTAATAAATCGAATTGCTCGGGTCTCTTTTTTCTTCTTTGGTTAGAAATATTTTGGTCATTCTCAATATTTACGTCTTCATGAGCTTCAATACCATCGTAATCTCTCCGAGTAGGTGGAGAAGTGTCCTCAGATATTCTCTCCTGCGGTACATCTCTCGTAGCAGAAGCTTTCATCTGTGGAACATTTCTCGATGTAGATGGAACTGCGTCATCATAATTTCTCCCCTGTGGCACTCCAAACTGTTTGGAGTTTACCACCAACGCAATCATTAAGACACACAAGGGTAGCAACTTCTTCTTCCATAGATGTTAAGGGAATTTCCCTATTTTCTTCTCCACCAGTCGCTTGTAGCTCACTTTTGTTATGCGTGAGCTTCTTCTTTATCGCCGATTTATAGTCCGACCAAACCTGTGGTTCAAACTTAGTGAATAATATAGTTTAGCTTTTCAACATTTCGCAAACCTTTTTCCATTCGGCAATGGTTTTTGATGGCGGTCCAATCGAATTCAACTCCTCTCGCACACTTTCCCAAAATCTTTCTACCAAATCAGGTGCATTTTTAGTAAAAATTTTTGCTATGTCCGGATGCTCCTTCATTTTGGAAACTAAACATTTAAATTGCTCCCTGGTCGTTGTACGCTTCCTAAAACACATAATACGGTAGACAAACGGGCTCGATTATTTGCATAACCAGCTTTAATTTGCTTTAACTCATGCATTTTCCTCTTTAAAATGAGCATAAGCAGCCGAACAAATGCACGAAATTTTTGGGAATTAACTCGGATCCGGGGAATTTTCGATGACAACACTGGTAAAAACGGCCAGTTGTTGTCTTTTGTACAAGTAAGCAAACGAAGCAGCCGAGTTTCGCGTACGCGGTAGCCGAGTGGGGAGAGTTGCGAGCTACAAGCCTGTAGCTGCCAGGTTCGATACTCGGTTGGAGCGATTGCGAAAAATTTTTTGTTTTTATTATTTATTTTATATTTTTTTATTTTTTTTATTTATATATTTAATTTTACTTTATTTTATTTTCATTTGCTTTATTTTATATCACATTTCTTATTTTACTATTAGTTAATTTTAATTTTTAGAAATGAATTTTGTTAAAAATTCAGCAACAACTAACTGAAAGTAACGTAAAAAAAATATAGAACTTATAAAAAAAGAATGAAAAAGAAATAAAAAAAAAGTATACTGGCCGTGGGACTCGAACCCACGACCTTGCGGCTGGTTTATTTGCATTACTGCCGTCTGTAAGGGTAAAATTTTAATTTGCATTTATGCTTATTAATTCAAATTAATTTTCTCCGTCTGTCTACCATATAAGTTTGTGTTTTTTACAATATTACAATATTAAAGGGATAAATAATTGTGATTTTCTTACATTTTATTGCTATCCATCTTATCGTTTTTAGTATCCGCAGCACAATGGCGCGTGAATGAAGCTGAAATTAGTCAAGAACGTAAACCTACCGGTACGTAAACCCGAGTCAGCTGACACGATCTGTCTTACCAAAGCGCCATGTAAATGAAAACTCAACACCGCAGAATTTTTCTGTAGTTGTAGCCCGTAGCGCAGAGATCTGCGGAATTTAGATTTTTCCGTGGCAGCTGATTTCTCCTTCTTTAGATGGTTGTCACTTCGTCAGTTTTACAGATGGTAAAAAAGATATAAGTTCCTATTCAAAATATGTTTAAAATATTTGAAATTTACTATTGAATAAGGTTTTTGTTGAAAACTAAGTAGTTTATATTTAGCTAAAATCTATTAAAGCACGAAAAATTTTAGTTGAAAGGGTATGTTTATGAAAATGCATTGATGAGTGGCAACAGTGTAGTAAGCAACACTGAGGGCTCCAGTAATCGACAAAATTCTGCGTATACAGACTGCGTTTAAGTATACGTTCTGCGTTCTCGACTAATTTCAGCTTGACATATAGAGAAATTTGTACGAATCACGGATCGGATGCGTTTTCAATGATGCCACTTTTTTATTTCATTCGCAAACTGCATTAACCACTTTTGACTCATCCGCAAACTGCATTATCGAGCGTTTTCGATAATACCAAATTCTGTCAAAAGTGAGTAAAACTCCCACCGCAACCATCTGTCGGATACCATAATAGGCATGTATATATATGATATATATGTACATTGAAATTACCTCTAATTGGAATTTATCTTAAATACAACAAGTGATACGTTAGTAGTGAGATCACCAGTCAACGCAACCCTGGAATCCGACGACAGCCGAGCCAAAAGAATCGTATGGGCTGTTTTTGCTTACGCGTAAAAGCACATTTAGCGCATTTAGCTCTAAATGCTACTCTAAATGTACATTTATCCATACAAAATTCGTCACCTAAATGCAACTCCATTTTTGCATTAAGAATCTAAATGCTAAAGCAACCCTGTGATCTTCTAAAATTTCCACTATTCGAACATGGTTTAATGAGAAAAAGTGGCAACATTTGTTTCGTTTCCTAATTAAGTGCGGGATTTTTAATTGAAAGCACCAACCAATGAATATATACACAAACAAACGTTGGGTTGTGGTTAAAACAACTCAAGTTTTTGTATTGAATTTTTGGTCTAAAATTTATTTTTTTCCTTTTCAGTAGGGTTTTTTGCACATTATCTTCTGCGTGAGAATTGATCGTAATAGATACGGATCTGAATACGCGACTGGAACGCGGCTGTTTGTAAAAAGCACACGATTTCGAACTCGCGTAAATGTACATTTGCTAAATGCGATAGCATGAACCCTCTTCGAAAACATATGTTCGAAAGTGCTAAATGTTGCATTTTAAATGTAGCAAAAACGCTGCATTAGCAGAAACCACAAAGCACGATGAATGCCGTTACGAAGTAGGTCTCTTTTGGCGGAAAGACGACGTCAAGCTACCAGATAGTTACGACATGGCATAAAAGCGTCTGCTCAACATCGAGTCGCACATGAGACATGCAATTCGCCAGAAGCTACAAAAGAGAAATCGAGAAGTATATTAGCAAAGGTTACGAGAGGCAGCTCTCGGTGGAAGAAGCCAGCATAACCAAATCCACGACCTGGTATTTGCCCCATTTTGGTGTGGTGAACGCCCACAACGCGACACCAACCAATACGCATTTATATTATGACGTCAATGATATTCGGCGCTGCCTCTTCTCCGTGTTGCGCAGAATATGTAAAAAAAATACACAAATGCCAGCAAGTTCAGTTCCCAGCGACCAAAGGGTGTCGATGCCGTTATCAACAAAACATACGTTGATGACCTCGTGATCAGTTTCCAAGACGTCCAAGAGGCCGAAAAAACTATTCGGGAGGCAATTGGAATTAATTTGTGTCAACCCACAAATCTTAGCAAGCGAGACTAAATAGTGAGAAAGATATGCAGTTAACAGTTGTCAATATTGAGAAAAGAGCGACGGCCGACAAGGCATGTATAGGAACACTTCCTCAGATGCCTTCGAGTTTCACCTAAAATTTCTTAAAACACCTGCAGACATTCTGCGATGTGAACGGCCTCCAACGAAGAGAGAGTTACTAGGTATCGTAATGTCAATTTACGATCCTTTCGGTTTTTTGGCAAACATCACAATTGTTGCGAAATTGTTGATTCAGTTGACGTGGAAACAGAACATTATGTGGGATAAACAACTGTCGCATCCGCTGGCCAAGCAATGGAATGCTTGATGGACTAAATTTCAATATGTGAACTCATTCGCTGTACCTCGTTGTTATTCGAGTATGTTACCAAGCGCCGATAACGTCCAGCTGCACATCTTTGTCGACGCTAGTACAGACGCATACGCCGCCGTCGCCTATTTACTAGTCAGTCAGGGGGACGTGGTAGAAGTAGCACAGGTATGTGCGAGATCGAAATTCGCGCCGCTCAAACCGATGACAGTCCCACGCCTGGAACTGCAGGCAGCAGTCCTTAAAACTCTGTTAGAGCAAAACAACGAGATTCGCATTGACAGTACAACCTTTTGGAGCGATTCGCAGACCGTAATCCTCTGGATACGTTCTCACTCCCGAGCGTATAAGCCATTCGTGGCGCATAGGATTGTGGATATCCTGTCAGCAAAGACGGCGGAACAGTGGCGCTGGATACCCACAGCGTTGAACGTGGCAGATGATGCCACACGTGCGTACCGATACCTGAGCCGTCAATAAACAGCCATTGGCTACGTGGACCAGAGTTTCGGTATCAGCAAGAGGGACAATGGCCGCGAGAAACCATGCGGTCATCCGTCGAATGTGCCAACGAGGAGCTAACTAGCCGAAAGCTTCTCTGTACCGCAGGTGAGCCGTTAACCAACTTTACTAAATTTTATTTCTTTCTGACGCTAGTAAGACTCCTGTCCTGGGTATTGCGTTTTGTCAGCAATGCCAGGAGGGAAGTACGCAAAGAAGAACTGCAAGCCGACGAACTGACTGCCGCTGAAAAGCAAATATGCCGCATTGTACAACAACAAGCCTATCAAAACGAGATCGATCTGCTAAGAAGATTGCCCTGCCAAAGAATAGCTGCCTACATCCGCTAACGCCTTACTTAGACGAAGGTCTACTCCGAGTCTACGGAAGAATAGACGCAGCATACTGTCTACCATTTTCCGCACGCCGCCCGATTATTTTGCCGACAGACAATTATGTCACAAAATTAATTTTAGCTGAACACCACCGAAAACGACATCACCTTAACGAATGTTTGACGATAAACGAAATTCAACAACGATATTGGATCCCCGCCATTCGCAGAGTTGTGAAGTATGCCAAGAAATACTGCCCGACTTGTATATACGACAGAGCAAAACCAGCAGCACCATTGATGGGCCAGCTACCCAAAGACCGTCTAACGCCTTACGTCCGACCCTTCACATACAGCAGAGTTTACTACTGCGGTCCGTTCTACATTGCTACCGGGCGCAGAAGAGAAAAGCGATGGATTGCATTGTTTACATGCTTGA